GATCAACAATCAAATATGTTTTCTTGAATTACGAATAACATGAATGGATTGAAATATTTGATTAAATTATCTCAGAATAAACCTTCGTTTCGGTGCAATATTGAAATTAGCTTGAATTCATCATAACCTCTGAATAGTGGGTGAGCTAAAGGGTCACGGGTTATACAGAGAGAGAGAAAAAAATAATTAATCTGATAAATTACAATTTCATTTTTAAATTTTAGTCTAATGGTTGCTACGTTGATCCCAAGAACGTGGATAACTGTAAGTTAAATAAATAAGCAGAAAACTGATATACAGACAGATAGATGGAAGTATTCTAGTAATTGATACGCACACATAAATGTGTGTGTATGTAAATATATATATATACAGGTATAATATAATCTAAAAGTTATTTATTGTACATGTAGATGTACGCGCCAACAAAGTTCTAATATAACAATGTAAAATTATACCGTTTGTACAAAAGTACAGGCCAGGTGGTTAGGGTGTTCGACTCGCAATCTGCGGGTCGCGGGTTCGATTCTCCGTCACACCAAACATGCTCGCCCTTTCAGCCGTGGGGGCGTTATAATGTGACGGTCAATCCCACTATACGTCGGTAAAAGAGTAGCCCAAGCGTTGGCGGTGGGTGGTGATGACTAGCTGCCTTCCCTCTAGTAGCCCTCGTGTAGCTTTGCGCGAAATTCAAAACAAACAAACAATACAAAAGTACAAAAGGTGTCATTTTAAATGAAAATGTCTGTTGGTTATAGCTCCCAAAAGCATTGGGGATATTCCGTCTATCAGACATAATCAAAACAACAGATGCAGAGCTAACCAGCCCGTAACCGAAAAAAAGGGGGTGGATTAGGAACTTAGTGCTAGAACCCACAACGTCCCAGATCCCACTATCACTCACCGTCTATAGCCGGGTTGTGGGTATGATAGTTATCTCCCTAAAAAAAACATAAAAATAGAAATATAAATCAGATACCACCCTTGATTTCCATCAAAGAACATCATCACACCTTCTCCCTAGTACAGTTACTCCATGATATTAAATTACGAAATATACAACCTTACTGTATATTTCTGGTACTAGTAGTAATATTGACACTTTATCACTGCAAGATATTAAGAACTATTCAATATAGTATAAGCAGTAATAATTCGAAATATTTCATTTAATAATGCTACTAACTATAAACCCACCTATATAGTTCTAGTACCCCTTCCTCCTCCCTTTCTAGGGACATGACTTTCAACT